GTCGCGGCCTCAGAGTTGCATTTGTCAGAGAGGAGCCGTGCAGTTCACCAAAGGCTTGCTGGTTCCATTCATGATGCGAATGGTTGAAAGGACTCCGAGCGATTCAAAGAGTTGAGCAGTGTTGTAAATTGGGTCATCTCCTCCATTTTGCTCCTAAGAATTCAGCGCGGGAATCTACCAATTGGTGCGAACCGGAAATGGTCCATCCACCGTGCAGAGGCGAAGCCAACCCCAAGACCAAAGCCAACCTTTTAACATAAGTCAGTGGAATTTCATGTAAATATATAGTTATGTTTGAATCATGGTACCAGGGGGAATAGCATATATTGTATGTTGGTACCTTATCCTGAATCACTGCGCAAAGCTGCTTCTGTCCACTTCTTCTCTTTTGCGCTTCTGTCCTTCAGCATTCCTCCACTAAGCAAGTCTTGCCAGGTTGACTACTTTTCGTTTACCCGACGAACCAAGTCGATTGACGTTTGCACATGCCTGCTTCGGCGAAACTTGACTCAACTGGCATCGCAGAAGTGAACCCCAGCTCCAGTTGACTGGAGTTTGGACCTGACGTCTTTTGGCTCTTCTCGGCCCGTCTCTTACAAGCGCTTGCAAGTCTGGAGGTTCGAATCCTGCCGTTGTCGTGCCAGGCTCTGTCGTAGTTGCAGCTGGCCCATGAAGCCGCCTACGGCGGCCGGCTTGCCTCGCCGCCATGCGTAAGCCGGGCAAGCTGTGCCGTGCCAGTTCCCTCCGGCACGTCTTGGTTCCTCTTGCCGCAAGTCGTCCTTCCGGCCGTAGCTCTGCTGGATGCTTCTGCGAGGTCAACTTTGCGGCCGAGGTCCGGCTCTACAACCCAGCAGTTCCTGTCCTTTGGCCTAATCTGGGTCAAAAATAGATACCCGAAATAGAACCCTAAGTGGTAGCATAGACCAAAACCTGCGGTCCATATCCTGGTTTAATTTTGACCCATACCCCTTTCAGTCGGTCCCTGAGCATGGGGCGCCCGCAATTCTCAGCCACGTACGGAGCTGGCCGCCTCGTTGGCTCGCCGGACTACAGAAAACAGCTGGTTCCAACTTATTCTAACCTCTCTACTGCAGGACCTAGTCTTAGTGAGCACGTCTATTCCCTGACTCGGTCGCGATCGCGCTGCTCGCCGGTGGCTTACTTTCAGCGCAAGAAAGGCCATTGTCGATCGCGATCCGGACGCGACCACAACTTGTGTGAAGCTGTTGGAACGTTTCCCTCACAGCCTCAAACGGGGGACCGACTCAAAAGACACATGCGCTCACTCTCTAATTTGCCAACCTAGCTTTTTGGAATGGTCAAGAAGCTGAGCGGTACCCGCTTTCCGGTGAGTTGTTGCATCCAGACAAACATTGTCAACGGTCACCTTCAAAGGGACCTGAAGATTGCAAGTGCCCTCTGTTTTTGTTTTTGTTTGGTGGGGTTACCTGCTTTTGAATGTTGTTTTTTGCCTAGCCCTGGCACAGAGCTAACCCTGGTTGGTTGGTTGGTTGGTTGGTTGGTTGGTTGGTTGGTTGGTTGGTTGGTTGGTTGGTTGGTTGGTTGGTTGGTTGGTTGGTTGGTTGGTTGCAAGACACTCAGCTGCGCTCTTAACACGGAAGTGGAACTTCCGCACAAAACCCTCCTCTTCAAAAAGAGCTCGCTCGCTTCAACCCAAGTTGCATCGCGGACCGCAGGCTGTGGCTGCATCGGTTTTCAGGTTCCAGTGCTGGTTACCAATTCTCCGGGCTGGCATTTTGGCTTTCGTGGCTTTGGTTCAAGAGCCATGAGGGATGCGAACCTTCACAATGAGTGGCTGGGATTTCTGAAAGACCAATTCACATAACGTGTTGTTGTGTCTCAGGCTCCTGTTTGGCAGCTTGAAATTTCCCAGAAGAACCTTCCTGCGCCATGAAGGTGAATGTTTACTTGCCTAGTGGAGATGGCTGCTGCGTAGAAGTCTCACCGGAGTGGTCCATCAGCAAGCTGAGGGCTGCAGCGCAGCAGCATTTCCAGCGCCCATTGAAGCTCACCGCAAAAGGCCGGCAGCTCGACTTGACGGCCACGCTGGGCGAAGCAGGATTGACAGATGGGGACGTAGTGGCTGCAGTGGTGCAGCTTGGCAAACTGGCTGCGAGCTCTGGCGCGTTTGCTTTGCATGGCCACGGGGGCGAGGTTGTGACCTGGGGTGATTCAGAATATGGCGGAGACTGCAGCGGGGTGCAAGAGCAGCTGAAGAGCGTACAGCACATCCAAGCAACCGCCGAGGGTTGTTTCGCTGCCATTCTTGAATCTGGGGCTGTCGCGACCTGGGGTGATCCAGAAGGTGGCGGAGACAGCAGCGAGGTGCAAGAGCAGCTCAGGACTGTCCAGTGCATCCAAGCAACTCACGGTGCTTTTGCTGCAATTCTGGAATCTGGCACTGTTGTGTCCTGGGGTGATCCAGAACGTGGCGGAGACAGCAGCCAGGTACAAGAGCAGCTCAGGAACGTCCAGCACATCCAAGCAACTCAGGCTGCTTTCGCCGCCATTCTTGAATCCGGGGCTGTTGTGACCTGGGGTGATCCAGAAGGTGGCGGAGACAGCAGCGAGGTGCAAGAGCAGCTCAAGAGCGTCCAGCAAATCCAGGCAACCTCAACTGGTGCTTTTGCTGCCATTCTTGAATCCGGGGCTGTTGTGACCTGGGGTGATCCAGAAGGTGGCGGAGACAGCAGCGAGGTGCAAGAGCAGCTGAGGAACGTCCAGCACATCCAAGCAACTGGCCGTGCTTTCGCCGCCATTCTTGAATCTGGGACTGTTGTGTCCTGGGGTGAGCCAGGCTTTGGCGGAGACAGCAGCGAGGTGCAAGAACAGCTCAGGAGCGTCCAGCACATCCAGGCAACTTTCTATTCTTTTGCTGCCACTCTGGAATCCGGTGGCGTTGTGACCTGGGGTGATCCAGACAACGGCGGAGACAGCAGCCAGGTGCAAGAGCAGCTCAGGAGCGTCCAGCACATCCAAGCAAATGGCAGTGGTTCTTTTGCAGCAATTCTTGAATCTGGGGCTGTTGTGACCTGGGGTGATCCAGACATTGGCGGAGACAGCAGCGAGGTGCAAGAGCAGCTGAGGAACGTTCAACACATCCAAGCAACTTGCGGTGCTTTTGCTGCCATTCTTGAATCTGGGGCCGTGGTGACCTGGGGTGCTCCGACAAGTGGCGGAGACAGCAGCGAGGTGCAAGAGCAGCTGAGGAACGTTCAGCACATCCAAGCAACTGACTCTGCGTTTGCTGCCATTCTTCAATCTGGGGCTGTCATGACCTGGGGAGATCCAGACTGTGGCGCAGACAGTAGCCAGGTGCAAGAGCAGCTGAGCTCGATTGGTCTGTTGTAGAACGGACGACTCAAATGAGCGGCTGGCTGAAATGCAGCTCGAAGTGTTTCTTGGCTGAAACCACTCGTACCCAATAGAAAAAAGCTGCGAGCAGCTGTTGGAGGTTCGCCAATGTAAAGGCAAACCCATGTTGCGCACGACCATTTCCACTGAGAACATTGGCGGCTTCGGCATAGTGCTAGGGGCCCCGTTTTTTTCCTGTTGGGGGGATATGTTTCTGTTTTTCTCCGGGCTGGCATTTTGGCTTTCGTGGCTTTGGTTCAAGAGCCATGAGAGATTCGAACCTTCACAATGAGTGGATTTCTGAAAGACCAATTCCATAGCAGGATTTTGTGTCTCAGGCTCCTGTTTGGCAGCTTGAAATTTCCTCAAGAACCTTCCTGCGCCATGAAGGTGAATGTTTACTTGCCTAGTGGAGATGGCTGCTGCATAGAAGTCTCACCGGAGTGGTCCATCAGCAAGCTGAGGGCTGCAGCGCAGCAGCGTTTCCAGCGCCCATTGAAGCTCACCGCAAAAGGCCGGCAGCTCGACTTGACGGCCACGCTGGGCGAAGCAGGATTGACAGATGGGGACGTAGTGGCTGCAGTGGTGCAGCTTGGCAAACTGGCTGCGAGCTCTGGCGCGTTTGCTTTGCATGGCCACGGGGGCGAGGTTGTGACCTGGGGTGATTCAGAATATGGCGGAGACTGCAGCGGGGTGCAAGAGCAGCTGAAGAGCGTACAGCACATCCAAGCAACCGTCGAGGGTTGTTTCGCTGCCATTCTTGAATCTGGGGCTGTCGCGACCTGGGGTGATCCAGAAGGTGGCGGAGACAGCAGCGAGGTGCAAGAGCAGCTCAGGACCGTCCAGTGCATCCAAGCAACTCAAGGTGCTTTTGCTGCCATTCTGGAATCTGGCACTGTTGTGTCCTGGGGTGATCCAGAACGTGGCGGAGACAGCAGCCAGGTGCAAGAGCAGCTCAGGAACGTCCAGCACATCCAAGCAACTCAGGCCGCTTTCGCTGCCATTCTTGAATCCGGGGCTGTTGTGACCTGGGGTGATCCAGAAGATGGCGGAGACAGCAGCGAGGTGCAAGAGCAGCTGAGGAACGTTCAGCACATCCAAGCAACTGGCCGTGCTTTCGCTGCCATTCTTGAATCCGGGGCTGTTGTGACCTGGGGAGATCCACACTTTGGCGGAGACAGCAGCGAGGTGCAAGAGCAGCTGAGGAACGTCCAGCACATCCAAGCAACTGGCCGTGCTTTCGCCGCCATTCTTGAATCTGGGACTGTTGTGTCCTGGGGTCAGCCAGGCTTGGGCGGAGACAGCAGCGAGGTGCAAGAACAGCTCAGGAGCGTCCAGCACATCCAGGCAACTTTCTATTCTTTTGCTGCCATTCTTGAATCCGGGGCTGTTGTGACCTGGGGTCATCCAGGCAACGGCGGAGACAGCAGCCAGGTGCAAGAGCAGCTCAGGAGCGTCCAGCACATCCAAGCAAATGGCAGTGGTTCTTTTGCAGCAATTCTTGAATCTGGGGCTGTTGTGACCTGGGGTGCTCCGACAAGTGGCGGAGACAGCAGCGAGGTGCAAGAGCAGCTGAGGAACGTTCAACACATCCAAGCAACTAGCGGTGCTTTTGCTGCCATTCT